TCTACCTTAGAGTTACAAATGGCTAAACAGCTTCAAATTATTTCAGGTTTAAGTAATAATGGAAAGAAGACAGAGGACATCAGCTGAGCCTTAATCTTTAAGGGTTGCGGGGAGCCTTTAATGGCAAAAGACATTACCACAAATGCCTCCCTTAAAGACATCCAATTTCACTGATGCGAAAATCTTCACATGAAAGAACAGGCAAAAAGGACTTAAATGGGAGCCCAGGAAAGACTGCCAAGTGCGACGCTGAATTATTCAATTCTGGGGGATTCCATTGGCCAAGCAAGAAAAAAATCAAGCCCTCCCTCCCGCTCCTTCCAAAATCAAAGACTGAGAGAGGATAAAAGAAAGGCAGCACTTCTTGAAAAGCAGAGATTATTCTTTGCGGTTCCAGTTTCCCAACTTCCCCACAACACTGTTACACAGAAAGCAACCCAGCCAGAAGCACTGTAGTAACTCCAAGAAATTACACCCTGCGGCCCACACTGCTTCCTTTAGCTAACCAAGAAACTAATAACTCTTTTTTTTTTCATCATTCATTCAGCAGAGTAACAGAAATGCTAACTTTGAAGCAGATCCCAAACAAACACGGCTTCCCAAGGGCTCTGTTTTTAAGAGCAGCTTCTTTGTCAATCTGTAAATAGTTACACAATCCTTAAAAGCAGCCCTTCTGATCTCCCAGCTGTCCTGATGAAGTCCGGCAAGCCATCCTCTCTTCCTGTCCCCATGCTTGCCGAGAGAGGCATCTCAGACAGACAAGGCTACTCCGCAATGCTGACCATTTATCTGACAATTCAAGTGTTGTGCATTTATCCATGTCTGGGCAGTGGGGGAAGTCTCATTTGGAGAATGTGTCAGCTAAGCATCCCCTGAACACGAACCCAACTTCAAGGTGCCTGGAGCTTGAGAAATCAAAAGTGGAGGCATCTAAAACCCCCAGTCACTTGCAAAATGTTTAGGCCAGATTATTAAGTTTAACTTAAAACAATTTACCAAGCTCTCGCTGGAAGATACTGAGCTTTACAAGGCTTGCAAGATATTGCTGCCAGCAGAAAACTTTGGGAAACGCTCGGTAACCAAAGCACTCTGGTTCTAGTCCCTGAACCCCCGCAAAACTTAGTGCCAACTCTGCAAAGCCGATTAATAGAAGCAACAGCTACAATTTCATACATTTATCAGAAACTAGGCCTTGGAGCACGCAAGAGCCAGAATTACTGTTTTGAGTGCAATGCCGTACAAAGATTCAGTGATATCATTATTATTTTAAAGGTATGCTGACTTCTTAGGACTATACCCAACATGGGTGGAGCACGCAGCCCCTTTCTGGATGGCCCCGTCTAAAATCAGTACTTTGTTCCACATGAGACGAACTGCAAAAACGCCATTTGATTCCTGTTATAAATAAGGTGCTGACAGCGGGCTGAAGACCTTTGCACAGACAGAAGAGCGGCACAAATGAAAGAAGTCAGATTCGCATAGTGGGTCTAAAAGGTATAAATCCCATCAACCACAACCCAGTCCTTTGAGTTGCCCTGCTGGATTTGAATTGACCAATGAATCGCCACGCTGGGCAAGCCATGCATTTTGTCCATGCTGGCCAGAAAGGGAGACAAAGAAATGGAAGCAATAACAACAAAAAAGAGGTGGGCTTATTTCCTTCTTCTGAAGCATCTATGCAGTGGGAGCAGGGGAGGTGCAGGCCTGTTGCATCATCTAAACCACAAAAAAACGACAAGCGTTTCTTTGCTGATGGAGAACAGAGTGGAAAGGAGGGTGGTGACAGCCAAGACTGTGGGTACTGCAAGAGCTCGGCTTTAATTGGCTGTTTCTGTTCAGTTGATGAGATAGTAAGAAAAGTGATAGTGCCTGGATAGGCTGCTCGAAGACGCACGAAAATGGCACACATTTCAGTGTATAAATACTTCAGCTGGATGGCAGGGTTCGCCCTAGGCTCCTTAATTGTTCTAGGGAACCTGAATTTTTAACTCGGCCTAATAAACACACTCTCTCTCCCACCACCTACCCACCAAAGGCAAGGAAGCCATAATAAGATGCTTTGTCTTCCCCTTAAAAAAAACCACAACCTGCAAAAGATACTGAGAGCTTTCTGTATTGCCACTAAGAATAATGCATTTATACAGAAATAAACCCTTAACACTGTCTCAGTCCTAGTGAGAAGCATCGTTATCTAGAGCATGTGCGCACGCGCATATATACAAGTTGTTATACACACATACACATCCACACACACAAACATATTATATATATACACACATAAATACAGTGTGTGTAAGTTGTTACACACACACACACTGAACACCAGATTCAAGAGTTTTGTCTTTTTAAAGGCTATTGCCATTAACCTTGGGCCAGGCATTTCATTGTGTTTAATTAGCAAGCTAATGAAGCCAGTCCCCTTCTCGAGCAGAGGAGGATAAATACACCATCCTGAAAGAGGAGCCCAGATCCATCTGATGTTCAGTTCATTGCTGCCTGGTGGTACTTTATTTTGGTGCAAGTTTCAATACTGTAATGTCTCAACAAAATGTGTTAGCAATGTGTTTTGCAAAACAAACCCTCTTACACCTGCATTCTCTGAATTTCACAGATCACAACACAATTTCTGAACATTTGGGCTGCAGAAAATTTTCAAACAAAAGGCAAAAATTGAACATAATGTTTTCCTCAACAAATAGTTGATATTCCAAAAGTTAGACATACAAGTATTAAAAAAAAAAATAGCAGTCTGTGCTTATTTTACTGCAGTCACCCAAGGTAGTACTGAAAACCATCAACAATGGAGGTTGGGCTGGTTTTAAAAAGCCCCACCACTTTTGCACAGTCCTAAAATATAACACACAAGAAATATTTCCTGCAAGGCAGGGGAGCTGTGAATCCTAAGCAACGTGTTGCAACTTTGTTCCTTTTTCTCACTGAGGTTTAGGAAAACTGCACAGGCAACAGGTTCATGTGGCTACATACATTCCCGAATATAAGAAATGGGAAAGACAAAATATGAAAAGAGATTTACAACTCTCCAGTTCCAAGTTGACGATCCACGGAGAGCTTTCAAAGCAAGCACACACACACACACACACGCACACGCACACAATCTGTTTTTGTATTAATGTTTGGGGAGGGGGGGGGTCTGGGTGATCATATCCTACTAGATTCTCCTTTTTTTCTTTTTATAACCGGATGCACTTAGCAACTTTTCAGCATCAATTTTATTTTATTTTTTTAAAGAAACTTCCTTTTGCTGTTTGTTTTTATTCTGATATTTCTGTCACTAGAAGCAACGCTAGGAGCAGACACGGCCCTCATTTGCAAGCCCCACGGTTTAAAAGGAGTCAAAAAGGTCCACAACAAGAACAGGTACAGCAGAGTATACATCTCCCCGACGCACATCACAGAATTTCCCAGCCGACAGCGAGGCTGCGATCGCAGAAACCCCGAAGCCTGATGGCACACGCTGGCACACCATTGTCCCAGCCACCCAGCTGCTTCCTAAATACCTGCTCCTACTCCACGCTGCTGTCAATGTGCTCGCTCACACCCCCCCCCTTGCAACACAAGGAAACAAAGCTGTACACACAAGTGTCCCATCCATTCGATAAATGCCCTGGCTGGCTTGATGGCCACCAAATCATCATCTTTTTTTTGTTTTTGTCCTCCTGCTTCCTCTCCCCAACACGAGCATCACCAGCACCTTCGGTGCGACTTTCGAACTGCTGAGAGAAGGCATTGTTTACGGTACAGGGCGCAGGCGATGGCACCGCACGTTCAATGGGCACTGGGAACAAAGAAACGCCAGCGCCAGCCTGGCAGCCTTCAGTGCGCAGCACATTCCAAAACAAACCCGCCCCCGGGTTCCCCCTGCAAGCCGGGGGATGCTCCTGGGGCCAGGATCCCCTGGGAAACCAGGCAACAAAAGGGGGGGTGGGGGGGGAGGGTCCCTGCCTGCTGTGTGTGCCCCTGGATTTAAAAAAAATTAAATAAATCAAGATTCAAAAGCAGCAGGCTGCATACCCCACCCTCTACAGAGCCGGGGAAGGGCACAACTGCAGCACCCCTCCTTCCACCCATCTATTGTGAGCCTCTGTGCACACCCCAAAATAAAATCGCGCCACCACCCTGCTTGGAAATGGAGACGAGGTAACAAGTGACCCTGCAGCCCTTCCAGAGGGCCAGAGGTGATCAAATCAAGATCAAGCCAGGAAGGGGAGGGGGAGCCTATTGTGTTTTGGTTTTTTGGGGGGGGGGAAGCACACATGAAATGAAAGCCCCGTGGAAAAAATCATCCCTCCCCTTGCAACATAGAAATCCCTGGAAGAAAAAGGCACGGCGGAGGAGGGGGAGCAAGTGACTTTAAAGTCATTGCGTTTTTCCTTCCGAGACCCAGGACGTCAACAGCCATGAGGCTCGCGAGCGGTGTTGTTGTGGGCGCTGCAATCCGCCCGAAGGGGGACGTCTCCCCCCTCCAAGCGCACAACAAAGCGGCCGGGACTAAAAAGAAAGCCCCCCCCGCCCCGGTGCACAAAGCCAGCACCCAAGGGCTCGTCCCAAACCTTGGGCAGGATCCCTGAGCTGCGCGGCCCTCTCCTCCTGCCCCCGAGCCGCGCCGCTGTTTACACGAACTTCCATCGCGCCCGGCGAGGTCCCCGCCGCCCGCGCTCGGGTTTCAAATCACCCGGGGGCGTTAAACCAGCCCCCTGCCCGCCCGCACAACTTTCTCCCCGCTCCAGCAGCCTGCCACAAATCAGAGCAAATGAGTCATCTTATAAAAATAGAAGGGGGGGATAATAGTAATAATAAAAACCAAAAAAAACCCCCTATGGGATCGTAACATTTCGCGGGACACACGCGCGCGCGCACACACACACGCCTGGCGGCTGCAAGGGCAGAGCAACCCGCCGGCTCCGGAGGCCGGACAATGCAGCGCCGAGCCCGGGAAGTTGCGGAGCCGCGGGCGGCCCCGGCCCCGGCCCCGTCCTTACCTGCGCACAAAGTTCCGCAGAGCAGGGCGAAAGTCACCCAGGGCGCGATCATCCTCCTGGCCCGGCGCCTGCCCGCCGGGGGCCCCCGGGGGAGCCGCGGGCGGCCGGCGGGGGAGCGCGAGCCTCGGCCGCCCAAAAGCAGGAGCAGCATAAAAAACACAAATAAAGGATGCCCCCAAACCCCCAGGATCCTACAGGCGATGCGATGGGGGGAAACCCCCAAAAAACCCCACCAAAAAAACCAGCTTGAATTCCTGCACCGCTGCCCCCGGGGATCCGATGGAGGCGGCCCCGGCCCCGGCCCCGGCGGCTGCTCCCGGCTTTCCAAGAGTTTCTTCTTTTTTTTTTTTTTTTTCCCCCTCCCTTTTTTTTTTTTTTTTTTTTTTCCCCTTTCTTTTTTTTTTTTTTTTTTTTTTCCCCTTTCTTTTTTTTTTTTTTTTTTTTTTCCCCTTTCTTTTTTTTTTTTTTTTTTTTTTCCCCTTTCTTTTTTTTTTTTTTTTTTTTTTTTTTTTTTTTTTTGCCTCGGCTTTTGTGCGTGCGCGCACACACACGCACACGCCTCCCTCCTCCCGCCGGCCCGGGACACACTCGCTGGCTCACACGCGCGCAGCACAATGCGAAGCGGGGGGCGGCGGCAGGAGCGGCGAGTCCCCTCCACCCCCACCCCTACCCCCAACTTTGCAGCGTGGCGGAGCCCGGCAGCCGCGGGGAGGCGGGCGGCGGCCGCAGGGGCCGGGAGCGGCG